TAAGAATTTGCAAATTGATTTTCAGTAGTGACAATTTTCTTCTGCAAATTATATGTCATGCAGTGGAACAGAAATTGTAGATATTGAATGCAAGTAATTTGATGGGTACTTATGTATCTTTCTAAGTGTTAAACTTGTTGCCTTATGCCTATTGGCAGGGTTCTCTGGCAAAGCTTAATTACTAAATGCTACATTTGCATTTTCTTTAATGCTAAGGTGCTTTAGCTATTTGAGTTTTATTAACTTAAACCAAATTAATGCAACATCCAAAGAATTATTATACAAAGATGTAATGATTTTAAAGCAACTTTAATCCTTTCTATTTCCTTCTTTCTTGTTCCATTTGGCCTCAAGAATATTTTTTAAATACCATTATGAAATGTACTTAGCTACACTTCTAGTACAATATATTGTCCTTCAGCATGATGTAACTTATGGCAAATTTACATAGCCTTATCATGTAAATTTTAATATAAAATTCTTCACAATTGCTTTAGTTTGTAGTTTGATTTCTAAATGTAGGATATTTGTTTGTAGCTGGAAATTGTCCTACTTATAGTTTATTAGATACTTGAAACATATTAAAACTTATTCAGCTATTGGTTTATTATACTTGGACACCTGTTTTCTATCTTCTCCTAATACACTGAAAAAATTAATCTGGTACTCCGTCTTGCAACTGTTCCCCTAAGAACACCAAGTACTTTTTGGAGTTCTACATTTCTTTTAGTTGACTCTATTATTTCCCTTTATTTCTACCCATTCATTTTTTAAAATTTATTTACTTTGTTTTTCAGGCTATTCTCCTTTCTTTTCATTAGACTCCTAAATCCCATCTGTCATGATCACTCTCAGAGAGGCTGCCTTTCACCTTTAAGTCCTCAACAAAGGCCTCCCTGATATAGACCTAGGAGGTAGGAAACCTTGAACTTTTATTTCTAGTCCTTTTCCTTATGCCCTTTAGTTTCATATTCTGTCAGTTTAGGTTTAGAATTGGGGAAAGAACAGACATTGTTAATTCTACTTTAAACTGCTAGAATTTGTACTGGAATTTAGATATATTTCAGAGGAACCTATTCCAACACTGATACCGTGCAGCCTCTAAAAGACTTCTTTGCATAAATATCTTATTCAAAATCAGTAGAAAAAAAGTATAATGATTTTTGTTATATAGGATAAAATAAATTGTAAATGCCTTGTCTAAGTAGCATGCATAAATTATCTTAAATAATATGTTAAGCTATGCTGAATATATTAGATGTATTGATTTAAAAGAAAATCTAGGTTAACTCTCTTAAGTCTAAAAGCTTAAAAGAAAACAGAATAGAGTGACCATTTAGAAGATCTTTTTCCACTAGTAAATAAGACAAACTAAAATAGTAAGTGCAACAAAGTTGGAAATGCTGAGGGCAATTTGAGTGTAACATTTTATCAGAGTTTCTGAACTAGGATCATACCTGTTGTCTCCTTTGTCACTTTACTACCCCAAAATGAAATTCAGAGATCATGTAAACTATTTCTAAAAGATCAACATGATCCCCCTCAACTGTAACATAAAGGAGAAATAAAAGGAAACCAGTTTATAATCATACAATATTTATTTCAATATGGTAGTGTTCAAATAGAACTACACTAGAATATATAATGCAATAATCATGTATTTGAAAAAATTGACTTTGAAAGTGTTAAAGATATGAGAAAACATCTCATATAAGAACTAGGTTAAACTAGTTCTTATATGAGGAAAGAATATGGGAAAATAGTAAAATAAAGATTGGTATTAAAATTAATGATAGATTGGTCTTAAATATGAATATTGAAAGTAGGAAATAATCAAAATAATAATATACCAAGCAAAACTGGGGAGACGTTTGAGCTGGCCCTTATTTTTAAACATACTTTCAAAATGATTCTCTATGTGGGAAAGTGCAGAAGCAATAATTAAGAAATACCACAAAATATTAGGGCACATATTTATCTCCATGTTAAAAAAAACCTCACAACCATATGCTTTTATGCTTTGTTAATTAAAAAGAAATAGGAGACAAATTAGAAGAAGAAATGGCCATTAAGACATTATAACATTGTGAAGTTATAGAAAGAAATTGAAAACTAGCAGGTGACCCCAAGACAAACAATTTCACAGTGTTCAGTTTTCAGCAGATATGATTCTTTTCATTGTGTCACACATCATTTTGCATGTATAGTGTTTAATAATAAAAATATGTTTAAAAGAAATTTTATTCATGATTTTGGTGTGATTCCTGCGATTACTTACAGATTTCATAATATTTGGTTCAAACTCAGATAAAGAAGATTTAAATCTCTTAGTATACATATTCACACATGAGAAGTATAAACCTAGACTGTAACCTGAACTCTGAAATTTTATGTTGGCTTCTCAAATGCCACAAACAGTATAGTTTATAGGTAACGTAATTTTCTGAAATACCCAAAAAATTACAATAAAGTTGTTAACAAAATAACCTCTTCATGGTGGTTGTAGTTCTGGAAATTTTATCGTATGTTAAAACCACATAAAAATCACATTAAGCTGTTTTATGTAAAACAGGGCCAAGGCTCAAATCATTATAAACATCCTTTTTATCTACATGGATATCCCTTGGGACATATGGACAATTTTTCAAGCTGAGAGAATTGTGATATTCAAATTCTTCAATCAAAAAGCCCTTATAAATGTCCCTGCTAGGAAATTAATGTAGTCAGCTCCCTGTACAGCTCTCCTTATCTCAACTAGCAAAAACCCTTGTTCCTTCCTATTATTGCTTATACTCTCTCTTCAACAAAATTAGAGATAAGAGCAAAATAGTTTCTGCCGGGTAGCGAGGGGTTGGGGGGGAGAGGAAGGGGGAGGAGTGGGTGGTAAGGGAGGGGGTGGGGGCAGGGGGGAGAAATAACCCAAGCATTGTATGCACATATGAATAATAAAAAAATAAATAAAAAATAAATAAATGTCCCTGCTGGTGAACACTGCAATAGTTGAGACCATGTGGTTATAAGCATAGACAATTCAGTGGGGGCTTATTGAAACTGGTTCCATAGGCAACCAAACTACACTAATAGTGTCCCTCTGCCTATTAGCATCATAGATGATCTGGGTTTAACCCCAAACAGCTCTATAGACAATTTGCTATAGAAATCCAACATAAGGAAAGACAATATAGAAATAATTGAAAGAGGGCTTAAATATTTTAATATAATTTAACTATATGCCTCAGCTCCATTATCTGCACTCTCTTGTCCTTATTCCTGTGTGTGGTTGAATTAATTAAGGAGTGAAAATATGGTATTATGGTTGAAAATAAGAAATTTGATGTTCTTGTATATTTTACTAGTTTTAAATGTTAATATTTGTGACAAGAATGTAAGACATGTAAGGCTCCAAACAGGAAAACATTACTTCAAATGTGTTACAACAATAACTGGATGATGTGGGCTTGTATAAAGAGCTAAAAAAATAGGATTTCTGTCAGACACTTAGACTAATTTGGTGCCACTTTGGCTCTTATTGCTATCCTTATTATGTAAGTAGAAGAGAATATCTATATGCCAATAAACACACATGAGGCAATAATTGCCCAGAGAGCTCAATAACAGTTTTCCTGGATTGGCCATCATCACAGGGAAAGACTCAAGTAATTAACAGAAATGCAATCCATGAAATATCAGATTTTTAAAATACATGACAATTTTCTTAAACTTACTTCAAACTTTTATAATAATAAATAAACATAACCTCTCATGAGCAAATTTAGTGTAATTTCCCCCACATTTCTTAGCATTATATTTAACCTGTGTTGATTGTTGAAGTCTAAAATACAAAATCTATAAGTGTAATTTAAGGCATTCATACCTTACTTGTTCTTTAAAGTACATTTTCATCCCTAAAATATGTATATTTCATTCGGAACAGGGAAAAAGATAGAAAAAGAAAAGTATGCTGACTAGCAAGCTCATATACACAATCTGTATGTTTTACCAGTCCCTGAGGCAAAAACAATAAGGTATATGCTATTGGGCTCGGTATTTTTATAAAATTCTTCCTTATGTTAATTTTTAAGAGCTATTTTATGGTAGAAGCAATATATCATTGCAAAAGAAACTGTTCAGAACTTTTTGTGAGTCTCTATAAGCAACACATAACAGACTCATCTCAAAAGAAAATGCTGCTGATCAGACTTCTCACCCCAACAAGAGAGCCAGGGGGCTTGGCACATTGTCAAATCATCTTTGTGGGATGAGAATTTGAAAAAAAAATGACTGGAAACTACCAACACCAGACATACTCTATTACCTAGCTATGGTCATTTGTACTATAACTTGTTTATCAGAGCATTCTTCTTTTACAGTACTTATAGAGACTTTTATTTCTTAGAAATTAGCCAGTCTTAAATCTAAATAAAAGGAAATATTTAAAAATCTCAAGCAGGATGCTGGAGCTTTCTATAAAGTACATGCATACAATGGAGCATTTCATATGAGTAGTACAAGCATGCAAAGAACCCAGCTGGCTTGGCATTTCTCAGCAACACAAAGAGGGGAGTAACCTAAATTAGGGGAGGGTAAACCACCCATTCGTAAAGTCCCAGGCCAACATGGTTTTATCCATAGGCTAATTCTTCCTTGAATAGTTTCCAGGTTATAAAACAAAATTCATGAGAAATTTTAAAGGCAGGATTTGGCTAATTACAGGGTGTGGAGTTGTTTTTTTAGCCTTTAATAAAATAAGCCAATTAACAGCTCAAACTGCTATTTACTTTCTAGTGCACATGTGGGGCCCAGTTTTTTCTTCAGATACTCACATGTCACTCTGTTTGGTAAAAGGTAACCCTAAGTCTGTGTTTAGGTATCAGTTGGCTATATTCATCACACCTGAATCAGGGCTACATTGGTCATGGATCATTAGCAAGGCATTCAGACCAACTCTTTTTTCTATTTCTTCTGATGCTATTTTTACAAATACTTTCCAATTTTTTTAGGGCCTTTTAACCATATCAAGTCAAGCCTCCTGGGATCCACGTCGGATTCAAACCTCAACAAATACAGCACCATTAACAAGATTCCACAGCTCACTCTGAATTTTTCAGATGTCAAAACTGAAAAAAAGAATACGTCCCCTCCTTCTTCAGATAAAACTATTATTGCACCCAAAGTTAAAGATCGAACACACAATGTGACAGAGAAAGTTACCCAGGTAGGACACAACTTTACTACCAATTTGACTGCTTTTAAGGTTATTTTCTGCACTACAAAACACATTCTTTGTTTTAAGAATTATTATTGATGCTGGTAAGACATTTATTTGTATTCCTATTTATCTTGAGATATTGAGCAACCCCTGAATGTACAGATAAATAAAGCTATGCACTGTGGTTTTTATCTATTACTAGACTAACAAAACTGAACTACATTTGTATTGTTCTTTTTGCTGTAGAGGTGGTTAGCCCACTATTCATCATATTTATACTCCTTATTGTTTTACTGCCAACAGTTATGTTATTAAGCATGGTGTTTTCAATGTAATGGATGTGCCTGTTGAAGCTTTAGGAGACTAATTGGGATTTACTCCTAACCGTGGCCTCCTTTTCTTTGCACTTCCTCTGCTAATCAGAGTAGTTGACTGGGTGGAAGAGCTGTCAGAGTTGATGAAAAGTCAGAGTAAAACAATACATTTTACAGCAATATTTTGTTATTTCCAAATAATATTGCACCTTGAACTAGGATATAAAGGTACTGTCCAAAAGAAGTCTTGTCTAAAAGAATAGATAAAGATGACTTGTATTTATTATATCAAAATACCAAACTAAGCAGTACCTACCTTTGCTTACACTGCACTTATATTGTTAGAAATTCATGACTGTAAAAAACTGTCAAGTAAACAGTTCTTATACAGATAATTTGCTTAGTGTATTTGTTTAGCAAATCTCCTCATAAACTTGACCTCAATATCCATCTGAAGCATTGAACACTTTGAATTAATAGTCTTTCTGTAATTTAAATCACTACAAATAACACCATAGTACTATTTAACATAATCTCTTACATATGCACATTAAAATAGCTATGAAAATGCTATGAACTTTCTATAAATGATATTGAGCATCCCATATTTATTTGAGATGAGAAATTAGGCCTGTCTTTTGTGAAAAAATATCCCTAGCATATATTTTAATATTTATATTGTAATGAGGCACACAACTCTTGGCATTTCACTTGTCTTAAGTCACACTGGTAAGTCATATTTAACAGTAATGCTGTTAAATGAATAACCTACTATTGTGCATATTATGTTAACACCATTTTGATAGCTTTGAATTTTACTTATAATTACTTTTCTTTTAAATTTTTATAGACAGTGCCACTATGTGGCTATGCACAAGTTAAACTTCTTGAGAAGATACAGAAGAAAGGTTAGAATTATAGGGTCAGGGTCCTGAAAGTGGCATAAGTGAATGAAGTTGGCAGAGCAACCCAGCATGAGACATGTGGACTGTCAGCAACTGCACAGTGCAAAACCTCTACAAAGTAGATAGCTGCCACTCATTTCCAGCATACTGTGGTCAGGCAGGAATGTTTGACCAATGAATGTTTCCAAATCTTCCCACCTAAAAAAAAGATACAGGGAAATCTGTATCTTTAAGATGAAACCTCCATTTCCAGTTGACAAACTAATTTAAAAATATCTCTGAAGTCTTTCTAGGACAAACAAAACACACTTTAAGTCTGTAAGCATCAAAGCTTTCATATGTTGGTCCAGCACAAGAGCCCCTATGCTACCACATCCACATGTCTACTGTGCCAGATCAGTGACACACATGTCAATTAGAGGTGGCACCTTCAATAGGGGCTTTCTCATCCTGGTGTAATAAGAAACAGATATACAAATAGTCATAGTGAAGTGCATGTTAGTAAAAATATAGGAATACAGTTTGGGAAGGATGTAATTATACTTTAAAAGAGAAATTTCTGAGAAGAAAATGAGTCAACATTAGACATTTAAGTTGAATGGAAGGTTACTAATCAAACTGGTTAGTAAGTGACATTCATGAGTATAAATCTGAAATCAAATGGAAATGGGCTTGTGTTTTAATTCTAAGTCATTTATTGTATGCCATGGAGACATATGGTATCTATTCTGTGACATGAGAAAGTTTAATGGATTGCAAAGTTCCTTTCTCACAGCTGATATAAGAGTTAAATAGAAAAATATGAGGAAAGTGTTCATCATAGTACTAAATGTGAAGCAAGCAATGTCTGTCTCTATTATGCTTATTAATGTCTTTTTTTTGTTTCTCTTTGGTTTTTTTTCCTTTATTATTGGGCTGAGTGGGGGTACATTGTGGCATTTACAAAGGTTCTTACAATATATCAACTGTATCATTCTGCTCCCCTTATCCTCCCTCCCCCAATTCATGGAACATTTTCAACAGGTATCATTTTTGTATTTATATGCATATGTATACAATTTTTGCACCTCTCTTACCGCCTTTCCCCACCACTTCCCAACTGCAACTGGTGCCAACCCTTCCCTCTGGGCAGGACCTGTTCCACCCTCTTGTTCTCTGATTTTACAAAGGAGGAAAGCGAAAAGATAAAAAGAAAAGCATGACATCTTTGCTAGTTTGAGATAAAGATAGCTACATAGGGAGGTTCCTTGTGTTATTTCCATGCATGTATGTGTTATACCCCAGTTGGTTTATCTCTTCTAATTATCTACATTCTACCTTAGTCCCTTTCTTATGGTGCTTTCAGCAAATTTAAGATTTCTATATTCATTCTTGAATATAGTATGTCACACATATTCAAGTTCTTAGATTCCTTCCTTTACCCTACGCCTCCCGTGCATGACCTCGCCTTAAAGTGACCAATGTTTCATAATATTGCTGCATTTGTATTAGGTCTATATTCCACATATGAGAGAGAATATGTGGCTTTTGACTTTCTGAGCCTGGCTAACTTTACTTAAGATGATGTCCTCCAGTTCCAAGCATTTACCTGCATATGACAAAATTTCATTCTTCTTTATCACTGAGTAAAATTTCATTGTATATAAACACCACATTTTCTTAATCCATTTGTCAGTACTGGAGCATCTTGACTGTTTCCATAGCTTAGCTATTGTGACTAGTACAGCAATAAACATGGGTTTGCAGGTGTCTTTTAAGTAAGCTGACTCACATTCCTTTGGGTATATCCCTAGGAGTGGTATTGCTGGGTAATATGGAGATCTATTTTAGTTTTTTAACTAGCCCCCATACTGTTTTCCATAGTAGCTATACTAGCTTCCATTCCCAGCAGCAATTTATGAGAGTTCCTTTTCCCATATCCTCACCAACATTTGTTGTTGTTTGTGTTCTTGATGGTAGCCATTTTAACAGGGTGAGATAGAATCTTAATGTGGTTTTGATTTGCATTTCCTTTATGGCCAGGGATGTGAGCATTTTTTCATTTGTTTTTTAAAATTTGAACATCTTCCTTTGAAAAGACTGTGCAGTTTATTTGCCCATTTCTTCACTGGGTCATTGAGTTTTTGGAAGTTTAGTTTTTTGAGCTCCCTTTATATGCTGGTTATCAATCCCTTGTTTGATATATAGCTGGCAAAGATTTTCTCCCATTCTGTGGGCATCCTCTTCAATTTAGAGACCATTTCTTTTGTTGTGCAGAAGCTTTTCAATTTCATGTAGTCCCATTTGTCAATCCTTTCTCTTGCTGAGACAATTGAGTTCTGCTGAGGAAGTCCTTGCCTAAGCCTATTGCTTCCAGTGTTATTTCCTGTTCTGTCTTGGGCTAACTTCAAGGCTTCAGGTCTTATATTAAGGTTATTAATCCACTTTGAATTGATACTTGTACAGAATGACAAACATGGATCTACTTTCAGTCTTCTTGAAGCAGATACCCAATTTTCCCAGCAACGTTTGTTGAAAGAAGTTTTTGTTGTTTATATGTTTTTGTCAACTTTCTCAAAAATTAGGTGGGCATAGCTGCATAGATTCATATCCAGGTCCTCTATTCTGTTCCACTGGTCTTCATATCTGTTTTTGTGCCAGTACCATGCTGTTTTTATTGCTATGGTCTATACTATAGTTTGATGTTGGGTATTGTGATACCTCCAGTGTTTCTCTTTTTGCTCAGTATTGCCTTGGCTATTCTGTCTTTTGTGTTTCCAAATGAACTTTAGGGTAGATTTTTCAATCTCTGTGATGAATGTCATTGAGATTTTGATGGGAATTGCATTGAACGTGTAGATTGATTTTGGTAGTGTAGCCATTTTTACTATGATGATTGTGCCAATCCATGAGCATGGGAGGTCTTTCCATTTTCTGTAATTTTCTTCAATTTTTTTCTCTAATAGTTTGTATTATAGAGATCATTTATATTCTTTGTTAAGTTTATTCCTAGGTATTTTTTGTGACTATTGTAAATGCAGTTGTTTTCCTACATTCTTTCTAAATCTATTCATTGTTGATGTATAGAAAGGCTACTGATTTTTGTAAACTGATTTTGTATCCTGCTACTTCACTGATGCTGTTTATGGTATCTACGAGTTTTTAGTGGAGTTCTTCAGGTCTTTTAGGTATGGGATTATGTTGTCCACAAAATGGGATAGTTTGACTTGTTTCTTCCTATTTGTATTCCTTTTATTTCTTCTTCCTGTCTTATTGCTCTGGCTAGGAATTCCAAGACTATGTTGAATAGGCACCCTTGTCTCATTCCTTCAGTTTTTCCCTGCTTAAATATGATGTTGGCTATAGGTTTGTCATATATAATCTTTATTATATTGAGGCACATTCCATCTATTCCTTGTTTCATCAGACCTTTTATCATGAATTTTATTGGAGGCTTATTCTATATCTATTGAGATGATCAAGTAGTTTTTATCTTTGCTTCTGTTAATATGGTATATTACATTTAATGATTGGCATATGTTGAACCATTCCTGCATCTTTGGGATGAAGCCAGCTTGGTCATGGTATATAATCTTTTTTATATGCTGTTGAGTTTGGTTTGACAATATTTTGTTGAGGATTTTTGTGACAGTGTTCATTAAGGAGATTGACCTGTAGTTCTCCTTTTTGAATGTGTACATTTCCAGTTTTTGGATTAGTATACTACCGGCTTAATAAAGTAAATTAGGCAGTGTTCCTTCCCTTTCTATTCCACTTAAAAATTTAATGAAGTTGGTACTAGTTCTTATTTAAAGATCTGATAGAATTCAGCAGAGAATCCATCAGGGCCTGGACTTTTCTTTTGGGAGACTCTTTATTGATGCTTCAATTTTATTGTGTTATATATCTATTTAGGTGATTCATAGCTTCTTGGTTCAATTTTGGATGGTCATATGTATACAGAAATTTGTTCTTTTCTTCTAGATTTTCAAATGTATTTGAATATAGGTTTTCAAAGTAGTCCTTGATAATTTCCTGGATTTCTTTGGTGTTTGTTGTTATCACTCCTTTTTCATTTCTGATTTTATTGATTTGGGTCTTTTCCCTCCTCCTGTTAGTTAGATTTGCCAGGGGTTTGTCAATTTAATTTATTTTTTCAAATAACCAGCTTTTTGTTTCATTGATTCTTTGTATGGGATTTTTTGGTCACTATTTTGAGTTCAGCCCATATTTTTATTATTCCTCTCTTTCTGCTTGTTTGTGTTTAACTTGCTCTTGTTTCTCTGAGAGTTTGAGATTCAGCATTAGGTTGTTTATTTGAGATCTTTCTGTGTTTTTAATATATGCACCCATGGCTATAAACTTTCTTCTTAAGACTGCCTTTGGTGTATCCTATAGGTTCTGATAGGTTGTATTTTCATTTTCATTAAATTCCAGGAACTTTTTGATTTCCTCCCTTATTTCTTCTGTTACCCACTGATCATTGAGCAATGTGTTGTTCCGTATCCAGGTGTTCGAGTATTGTTTGCTGCTTCTTTTGTTATTAAGTTCTAGTTGCTTTGTGTTGTGGTCAGACACTATGCAAGGGGTTGTTCAGTTCTCTTGTATTTGTTGAGATCTGTTCTGTGCCCTGAAATATGGTCTATTTTGAAGAAAGTTCCATGGGTGCTGAGAAGAATGTATATTGTACTGTTGCAAGGTGGAATACACTGTAGACTTCTGTCAGATCCATTAGATCTATGATGTTATTCAATTCTAGAATTTCTTTGTTGATTTTTTTTTATCTGGATGACCTTTCTCCTGGTGATAGAAGAGTATTAAATTCTCCCACTAATAGTATTCTGTGGTCTATCTGTGATTTTAAGTCCATAGTGTGTGTTTCATGAGGTTGAGTATACCAACACTGGCACATATAAGTCGATGATTGTTTTTTCCTCTTGATATGTTGATCATTTTATTAATATGAAGTGACCTTCTTTGTCTCTTCTGAATAATTTATGCTTGAAGACCACTTTATCTGATAT